TGGATCCTCGGACGCGCTGCGGCAATCGNACGGAGCCGGCGCGGCCACTGCCGCTGCCGGTGCCGCCTCGACGCATGTGCCGACAAACTCGCTGGGACTGGAACCGGCAGCACGCGTCGACGAGCCCGACCACTCGCACCAGGCCTCGTCCACGCTCGTCGACGACTCGACGGCAGTAAACACCCTCACCACGGCAGAGTCGGCGACGTCGGCCTCGGCCGCGCCCGCCATTGTCGCCGTACCGACCTCGCAAATGCCTGACCTCGACAAGGCGGCGCAGCAGCTGACCAGCGGGAGTAGCCAAGGCACCGTCGAGAAGGACGGCCTCGTGTCTGTGCCGACCAGCTCCAAGGGCACGGACGTGACGCCGGTCAAGGGAGCGGGCGCCGGTACCGATCGCCCTGCGGCCGCCGCCTCTTCCACAGCGACCACCAAGCCGGCTGGCACCGCCACAACCGGTTCCAGCGCCAAGGCGCCACCGGCCGCAGCCGGCACGACGGAGAAGGCGCGCGCAAAGAAGCCCGGCTTCGCGCAGCGGGTGATTGCCATCATCACCTGCTCCAGCGGCGCGCGGGCGATGGCCGAGCACGAGCAGCTCGATGAGAAGCGGGCAGGCGCCGCCCACGGCAGATCCGACGCAGGCCGAGCGCGCACCGACGGCAAGGCGGGCGGATCGGCGCTGCCGGCAGGTGTCGTCGTGCCGCCCCGGACACCCAACGCCAAGGGCGGGTCACGCCTCGGCGGCGACGACGGCAGCTCGTCGGTAGGTCCCACGACACCCGGCGGCGGCACGCGGCTGCCGCGCGAAGAGACGGGCGATGTCATGTCGGGAGCCGTGGTCCCGCCCGGCGCGTCCTACGTTGCGCCGGGAGACGTGGCGGCCGCCGACGGTTTGGCCGCGGGGCAACACCGCAAGTCGCGGACGTCGGGCGACGTCAGCAAGACCGAGAGCGACGTCGACGACGACTACGATGATGACGACGACGACGATGATGATGATGACGAAGACGATGAGGATGGCCTCGCCATGGACGGCGACTACCTCGACGACGACGACCAGACCGAAGAGCAACGGCTAATCATGCAAGGCGGCATCGGCATCCCGATCGACGAGTACGGCAACCCGCAGCCGCTCCTCGGCCCCATTGTCAAGGACGACCACGGACGCAAGTGCCTGGTTCTCGACCTCGACGAGACGCTCGTGCACAGCAGCTTCAAGGTGAGTTGGCTCTGCGATGCTGCGGTTCTGCGCGGCCGTGCAGAACACGCCGGAATGCGTCGCTAGTCTGGGTCGCTGACCCCCCCCTCTTGCGCCGCCTCCCCCTGCCCTCCTTGGCCTTGCTCCCCGCCGCCCCTCACAGGTCATGCCGGCCGACTTTATCGTGCCCGTCGAGATCGAAGGCACGGTGCACAACGTCTACGTGATCAAGCGGCCGGGCGTGGACGAGTTCATGCGGCGCATGGGCGAGATCTACGAGGTCGTCGTGTTCACTGCCAGCTTGAGCAAGTACGCCGACCCGGTGCTCGACATGCTCGACATCCACCATGCGGTGCGGCACCGCCTCTTCCGCGAGTCGTGCTACAACCACAAGGGCAACTACGTCAAGGACCTCTCGCAGCTCGGGCGCGACATCGGCGACACCATCATCATCGACAACTCGCCCGCGTCCTACATCTTCCATCCGAACAACGCCGTGCCCATCTCGAGCTGGTTCAACGACCCGCACGACACCGAGCTCACCGACCTCTGTCCCTTCCTGGCCGACCTGTGCGAGGTCGACGACGTGAGGGCCGTGCTCGACGGCGGGCTGTTTTGATGGAGCGAGAGTCGAGCAGGTATGCGGACCGGACACCCTAGCGTAGGCCCTGCAGCATCGTGGTCGTCGTCGTCGTCGTGGTCGTCGTCGTCGTCGTCGTCGTCGTCGTCGTCGCCGTCGTCGCCGTCATCGACACCCTCAGCGTGATCATGGTCATTGCGACTTTGTCGCGCCGCCAGCATCGGTCCCTTGGCAGCAGCTGCAGCCCTCAGCATCGACGATCCCACGGACACTTTCTAGGGCAGACAGACTGAGCGACACGCGTACCAGCATCACCACCACCACCACCACCACCACCACCACCACCACCACCACGCATGGACATTCTTGATACCAGGTGACCTGCCTCTCCCACTCGTCGGGTCCACTCTCGAGCATGGCAGCGCTCAACGCCCATCAATGGGGCCGGGCCGGGCGTCGGCGGACCGACACCATTCTTGTCGTGACGGTTTCGGCCCCGAGGCGCAGTCTGCTTCTGCGATTGACGGCCAGCTTGGCTGCCAAGCACCACCACACTCCTTCACCCTCAACGTTCTACCTGGCTCTCGCCTGTCGCTCGTCGCCATCGCCGTCGCCTACCCCGCGCTTGTCCGCTTTTTCCCGCTCACGCACGCACGATGCCGGCGCTGCCTGCCGAAATCGCCACCGCCGCCGTTTGGGGTCCATACGCCGGGGTCTCCGCTTGGACACCACCGTGCGACGTCCGTCACGCGTGCTTCCAGTCCGCCCGCAAGCAGCCATACAAGACGAGGAGGAAGAACCCCGCCCACCCAACACACACACACACACACGCACACACGCCCGCACACAGTCTCCGGCCCTTAGCATGCTTCGCGCCGGCCAGCCAGCCAGCCAGCCTCCTCTCTCCCATACACAACTCATCGCATATACCCCCCCTTCCTCGTCGATCCTCCCTTTCTTCTTTTGATCTTCGGCCCTCGACCTTGCTCTTTGCCCTCGATCCGCTTCCTTCTTCCGACGAGGGGGGAGGAGGGGGCCAGCACATCGACCGAAAACGACATCACCTTGAATCCTCCGCCTTTGCCCCATCCCACCTGTTTCAGCTCCTTGCCCTGCCCGCCCGCCCGCCTGTCCGCCCCTCTCTTCTTTGTTTGCCCCCCTCTCTCCTTCCGTTCGCCGTCGTCGTCTTTTCGACGCTATCATGATCTCTGTTCCATTTTCGGCTCACCCCCCCCCCCCTTTGTGCCTTTTCGACGATGGCGCCGGCGGTGGTGGCGAGGCGTGTCGATCACGAAGCCGACGTCGTGACGATATCAGAACCACATCGATACGGAGAAGCTCTGCTCGTTCGTTCGTTGGTCGTCGTCGGTTGACGAGCCCGGGGGGTGGGGGAGAGGGGAAGAGAGTGGGGGGGAGGGAGGGAGGAGAAACCGTAAGTACGTCGTGTCTGAACCTCTGCTTGGCGGCGGCGACGCACGACCGATGCGATGCGATGCGATGCGATGCAAGGCCGAAGCTCAGCTCAGCTCAGCTCAGCTCAGCTCACCTTTGTGCGGCTCCGGAACGAATGCCACCACTTTGGCGGCATAAAGAGCATGTCGCCCGGTCCCAGCACGGCTCGCTGCGCGCGCGGTTGCACGTCCTCCCGAAACGAGGTTGCTACCTGATCGGAGCAGGAGGGCGAGGACGAGGACGAGGACGACGAGGCGAACACGTCGATGCGGGATGTATTCGTCATCAATGACGTGGCTAGACCGTCTTTGTCGGACGAGTCGGGACACGCCGCGCCGCCGTCGTCTTCGCCGTCTTCGCCGCCACGGCCACGGCCACGGCCAAAGGGCGCCATGGCACCGTCGACGTCGACGTCGGGCGGAGCGAGCCAGATTTCCTTGTACCCGACGACCTGGACGAAGCAGTTGTAGAACATGTCAAAGTGGGGCGGCGATACGGTGGCCGCGGGGCCCAGCCAGGCATTGAGGATGAGCGCCTCGTCGTTGCCCGGCGGTCGGTAGCCCGGCACGCCCGGCGGTACCGGCGGCGAGGAGTAGACGTAGTCCGGCAGGATCATGTCGCGCCGTAGGTCGGGGAACTGCGAGAGGAGGTCGTGTTGCGCCAGGTAGAGCGGCTTATCCTCTGCCGCCGCCGCCGCCGTCGGGTCCGCCGCAGCCTGGGCCCAGCCGGATAAGCGGAGAAAGTCGGACCAGAGGATGATGTCCTGCCCCCAGTCGTCGTCGGTGTACTTTGCGCCGACCTCGACGGGCACCACGCGACCTGGTCCGGCGATGCGTTCGAGATAGTCGGCCGATGCCCAGCGCGGTGCGCCGCTCGCCGGCGGCGACGACGACGGCGCCGCGGACGGGAGGGGTTGGGACGCGGGCCAGTCTTTGGCAAAGCCCCGGACGATAAAGGGCCGTCGGCAGCTGCCGCGGTCGTCGTCGGATCCGGATCGGTCGAGGAAGGTGGCGAGCGAAGGAGGCGAATCGAAGCTGTCGATGGTGCCGTCGGCCAGGCTTGTGGGCTGCAAGGGGGCGCCGCTGCCGCCGTCGATGGCTGCGTGGTACTCGACTGTCTCTAGCCTGGACCGCTTGGCCGGGCGAGTATGCTCTGCAGCGGGCAGTAGGGCGGGGGAGAGGGGCGAGGCGATTGCGGTCTGGGCTGCGCGGATGAGGTCGTGGATCGCCTCGGCTCGACCGGGTCCGGGAGCGCCTGCGACGATGATGGCGAGGTCGAGGTCGCGGACGAGGGATGTCCAGTGCGGGTGAGCGGCGGCGTGCGATGGCTCGAGGAGGGCGAGGGCGGCGCAGGCCTTGAGGAGGATGGCGTCGGTGTAGAGGCGCCGCCAGCAGGTGGGGATGTCGGCGTAGTGGAAGCTGAGGAAGGCCTCGTCACACAGGCGCCCCACTGCGGCGAGGTTGCGTGCGAGGGAAGAGTATTCGTGGCAGCTGCGCGGGCTATCGTTGCCGGTGGCGGGGAGGGAGGCATGTTTGCCGCCACCGCCGCCGTCGATGGCTCGCAGCAAGGAGCGGAGGGCGCTGCGGAGGAGGCCGAGGGCGGGAGGGCTGCAGCCTTGGAGGTCTGCCGTGGCGGGGTCAAAGAGGGTCGACGACGGCGACGCGGCGGCCTCTCCGACGGCGACGAGGCATCTTGATATGAGCTCGAGGTGGTCCATGCATACGGCGTGGCTTTGCTCGCTCGCTCGCCGGCGGTGGGTGGTGGTGGTGGTGAAAGGAGGAGGAGAGAGCAACACGAGCAGAGGCCGCTGCCGCTGCCGCTGCCGCTGCGCTGCGTTGCGCTGCGTTGCGTTTTCCACGCGCGCGTCACTTTCTTGGGGTTGTCAGGTGGAGGCTGCACTGCCACTCGAGGCTGCTGCACCCCGTCGTCGTAGGCTGAGCCCCTCTGTGTGTCTCTCCTTTCTCTCCTCCTCTCCTCCTCCTCCTCCTCCCTTCCCCCCTCTCCCCATCTTTGGGGTCGCCGCTTCGCAAGCCACCGATCCGCACAACCGCCTCCAACACCGACAATCGCAGCACAACCATCGCCCATCCCTCCACCGCCCTCGCATCTCTGCCTCGGGCCGCCGGCTCACCCAATCCCTCCCCCGCCTCGTCTGCTCGCCCCCTCCTCCACGCCCTCTTCCATCTCACCGACGTCGCGCACACCACCACCTCACCGCTCGCCACCGCTTCCACGTAGACCCCTCCATGGCGCAGACAAACGACAAAGAAGATGCCAGCTCCATCGGCTCGGCCACGCAGCAAGCACAGCCCAGGCCATCCACCCGCGCCGCACCAAAGACAAAGGCAAAGGACAGGAGGGCCGCCTTCATCCGTCAGGCCTCCCTCCCCCTCCAGCATCAACCGGCGGCCAAAACAGACGGAGACAACCAGGACGGCCATGACGACGACCCCGGCAGCGCCTCGCAGGCACCCGCAAACGACGGCCACGTCTCGCCCGGTCCACCCCCGCTCCACACACGCTGGGTTCACACCCTCGAGACGGCCAAGGGATGGAAGGCCTTCGGTGCGAGGGACAGCCGCCGCCTAGAGGCTTCCTGGCGAGCAATGCAACAGTCTGGCTGCTCCTCGGGGGGCCCGTCCGACCCCGACCAGACCGAGCGTGACGCCGACGACGACGAGCAGTGGTCCGCCCTCGATCCAGACGACGACGCGCCCGTCTGGAGGGTCCCCGTAGGCCAGGACAAGCTCTACGACGCAGACCTGCGACAGCTCAAGGCGAGTCATGACAATGGCCCCCTCGACGATGCCCTGCATGCCCCGTCGCTGACCCCGCACGCATCCCATCCCTCCCCTCTGCCCTTTCGTCTCGCCCCGCAGATGGCGCCCGTCTTCTGGAAGGACCCAAAGAAGCTCGACGTGCTACGCGCCAGCTGGTTCTACGAAGCCAACAAGCTCACGCCCTGCGTCGCCGCCCTCGCCGACGAGCTCGAGGCAAAGTTCCTCGAAATCCAGCCCTGGCTCTCGTCGTACACCGACGAGCTCAAGTCGTCGCTCTCGCTCGGCGCAGAGGCCGAGGCAAAGCTAAAGTGCCCGCTCAAGTCGATCAAGAACGCCTACGTCATCTTCCAGGGCCCGCGCCTTGCCCGGCTCTACACCGAAGACTTCACCGCGCGCATCTCCAAGCAGTTCTTCACCGCCTGGAGCGGCGAGCACGGAGGCGGCCAGCTCCTCGTCCGAGGATACCAGACCCTCGTCCAACTCCAGGAGGCCAAAAAGGGTGGGCGCGGAAGCGGCAGCGGGAACGGCGCGTCTTCGTCCAAAAAGAGCCGGAGGGCACCGTCGACGAAGAGGGCGGCCAAGCGGCGCTCGCTCGCCACCGTCTCGTCGGCCCACCATACCGAGGCAGAGACCGAGGTCGACGACGCGAAGAAGGACGACGTGGCCAAGGACCTGCAGGACGCGCTGCAGGAGAACCAGGAGGTCCTCAAGAGCTCGACGACGGCCGCAGCAGACGATGCAGCGGAACAGCAGGCGACGACCGAAGGTCAGGCCGGCGCCGAACAGGCCGACGCCGCCGACGGCAACCCCAACGCGTCGAAGCCACCGGCCCGCAGCGATTCAGGCGTCACGGTGTCGACGGGAACGTCGATCGACACGGCGCAGGCCACGCCCTCGGTCGATGTCAGCACCACTCATGCCAACGCCACGACGGACTCGGCCAAATCTGGCGCCGGTGCGCGCCTGCGGAGCCTGGCCATGGCCGCCAGCAACCGCTCCTCTGCAGCCGCATCGAGGAACGACCTGCTCAGGAGCGTGGCCAGCCGCTTCGGCGCGTGGGCCGGCGGCAGCGGCGAAGCCGGCGGCGCAGAGGGTCTCACGACCAAGCAGCAGCAGGAGATCGCCAACTCGTTCAAAGAGGCGCAGAGGAGGGCGCAGGACCTGCCGGCGTCCGAGTACGAGACGACCGACGACGAGCACCACCACAACGACGGCGATGGCGAGCACGACGACGATGGCGACGATGACGGCCACGAAGATGACGACGAGGACAGGCCGCTGAGCGACGATCCCGAGGCGTTTGACGATGCGGAAGAGCAACGCGAAGAGGCCGAAGAGGAGGCGCACCCGCCAGAGCTGCTGCTGGCCGTCCACGGCATCGGCCAGCGGCTCGCTGGCGACTGGAAGAGCTTTGATTTTGTCGTCGCCATCAATGCGTTCCGCGAGCTGGTGCAGCAGCGCATCGACACCGTCAAGGCGCCCTCGGACATTGGCGGCGGAGGCCTCAAGGCGCTCGCCAACGGACGGCGCCTCCAATTCCTCCCCGTCATGTGGCGCGCCGGATTCCACGTCGGCGAGGCCGACAAGCAGGCGGCGGATGCGGCGCTCGACGAGGAGGACGAGATGTTTGACAACGGGCTCGAGCTCGACATGGACCACATCTTTGTGAGTTCTCGCGCTGCCGCGGCGCCGACGGCCGGTGTACGCTCTGCTGATGTCGATCTGGCCCTGCCTTTTCTCGTGCCTCTTGGCCCACTCGCTCGCAGGGCAACGAGGGCATCCCCATCGTACGGACGATGACGCGCGAAGTGCTGATGGACATTCCCATGTACCTCTCGCACCACCGCCAGCATATTATCGACTCGGTGCGGAGGGAGGCCAACCGGCAGTACCGCGTCTTTGTCAAGCGCAACCCGCGCTTCGAGGAGCGCGGCGGTAAGGTGCACATCATCGCTCACAGCCTCGGCAGCGCCATTGCGACGGAAATGTGGGTCTCGACGTGGCGGAATGCGTCAGGCACGCGGCACGCCTTGTGCGCCGGGAGCTGACAGCTGGACGACCTCTTGCCTGCCCATGGCGCGATTGTAGCCTGTCGATGCAGCCGACCAAGGTACCGCTGGTCAAGGACCTCGGACCCAGCGAGGCGCAAAAGGTCGGCCACAGCAGGCTCATCTTCAACGTCGAAAAGTTCTTTGCCGTCGGATCACCCGTCGGCATCTGGTTCGTCCTCGTGAGTTTGCTTTGCGGCGGTCTCCCCGGTGTTTGCCATCACCGGCGCTCGTCACGCTCAGCGCCTTGTCTCGTGCCTGCGCCTCCCCCTCGCCCTGCCCTCGGATAGAATCGGAGCCAGCTGGTGGCGAGACGCGGCCGCGAGTGCCGCTCGTCTTCCGACGAGGCCGAGAGCGGCGTGCCCAACCGCGCCGTGTCGCTCGACGAGGAGGGCAGGTACGGCTGCATGAGCGTAAGCGGCTTCTACAACATTGCCAACCAGTTCGATCCCGTCGGTACGAGGTGTACGCCGTGCGTCGACGTCAAGTGAGTGTCGCGCACGCCCCGGTCGCGTCGGTGCGCGGCGACGGACTGCTGACGAGCGCATGGCGAGGGCTGTGCTGTGTTTGCTTGGTTTGGTTTTTCGCTTGCTCTGGCACGACCCGCTTCCAGATACAGCAAGCTGGTCAAGCCCGTGGCTCTGTCCAAGGCGACGCGCGCCGTGCTGCGTGCCGATCCCAAGGCTATTCCGCCCGAGGCGGCCACCTCTACGACGACGACGACGAAAAAGGACGGCCGAAGGGAAGGCGATGACGCCGCCGCGGCAACGGAAGACAAGGCGGCCAAGGCCAATGCGACGTCGGGCGCCACGGCCACGTTTTTCTCGTCGTGGGGTCGGAAAGCGGGTGGGGCTGCGGCGGCGCTGTCGTCGTCGTCGAGCGCGGGCAAGGGGGCCCAGGAGACCAAGCCAGCTGCGTCCAGTGACAAGGCGGAGGATGACTCGACTGGCGCTGCCGCCGCCGCAAAGGACGAGGACGGGCCTTCAGCCGCGTCGGGATGGTTGGACGCTGCGTCCAAGGCGATCAAGCGGAGGTCGATGGGATCCGCCTCGGGCCACGGCGACCAAGACGGCGACGCCTCGGACGGCGACGGGGATGACAGGGCCGATGCGGTGGCGGCGACGACGCACGCCGACGAGGACGGCGACGACGTGCGGTCGCGGATCCGGGCGCGTGCCAAGAAGGAAGAGGAGAAGCAACGGCGCAAGGCCGAGGAAGAGGAGCGGGCGGCCAAGGAGGAGATGAGCGAGGCGCGGCGGCAGCGGGCCGAGGCGCGGCTGCGCGCCCTCAACCCGATGCAGCGCGTCGACTTCTACATGCCCCTCGAAGGGTACAGCCTGCTCAGCACCATCAACCAGTACGCGGTGAGTAGCGGGGCGACGTTAACGTCGACGTGGACGTGGACGTGGACTTGGACGTGGAGCTGCGCGGGTCGTTGGGTCGACGGCCTGTGAGCTGAACCTGCGATGCTTTCTTGCCTCTCTCTCGTCCTCACTGCCTCACTGTCTGGCTGTGGCAGGAGCTGATGACGGCGCACATGTCGTACTGGAGCCGGGCGGACCTGGCGGATTTCCTGGTGGCGCAGCTGCTGTCGGACGACGAGCGGCTGGCAAAGAGCCTCGAGTTCAAGGCGGTGGAAGGGTGGGAGTAGCCGTCGCCGTGGTTGGTCGATAGATGGTCGCTTTCGCTCTGCGCTGCGTTGCGTTGCGACATGACGTGCTGTGCTGTGCTCTACTGTGCTGTGCTGTGCTACTCGTTTGCCAATCTGATGGTGTTTATTTCTTTGGCCTGCGGGTGGCGGTGGCGGTGTCGGCGAGGCACGGCGCGGCGAGGCGAGGCGAGACGGAGGGATGCAGGCCCCGCGTCGGGTGACGACAGCCACAGAGAGAGAGAGAGGTAGAGAGAGAGAGAGAGAGCGAGGGTCAGGCCAGGTGGCTGGCTGCACAGCCATGTATGGCCTTGCTCGCCTGCCTGTTCTTGCAGTAGTGGACCCCGGCCCCCCTGTGCGGGTGCATGGGCCCACGTTGGCTGGGCTCCGATACAGAGGCAGCGGCGACCCTCAGCCTCTCTCTCTCTCTCACTCTCACTCTGCCTGCCTCCCTCACCGGCAACCACATTCACCACCACCACCGACACCAGCAGCAGCGCGTGCCGTCTGCTCGGACCATGCCAACCACGCCCTCACCAGCGCCACAACCACCGTCCGCATCCTAACTAGACGATCCCCCTTCCTGGCCTTGTCACCCCTCGACCTCCTTCCGCGCTGCTACGGATACACGCTCCCTTGGATACCACCTCTCGCCCTCCTCGCTGCTCGTCTCCCCTGCTGGCGCTATACCAAGCCCTCCTGCACCTTCATCCACTCCTTACTCGGATCCACGTCGCGCCATGTCACAACCCAAGCTGTGAGTGCTGACACTCTTGTCTGCCGCCGCCAGTGCCACAGTGCTAAGGTGGACCCCGGGCCACCGCTGACACGCCCATCCTTCTCCTTCCCTGCGACCGCACAGCACGCTGCGGCCGCCCCCGCACCGCGAGTTCGTCCAGGGCTACCCGGGCATCGCAGGCTCCTCGACTCGCTCGCCCGCCCACCTCGCCGGCAACGTCGAGGTCCGCCTCGGCACAAAGGGCCTCAAGGCCGCCTGGCTCCGCATCGAGCTCCGCAAGCTAGAGACGCTCCCCGGCGGCGAGAGCTGGGGCGAGCTCATCGGCAGGGGGCCCATCGACGTATGGACCGCCAGCAAGCAAGAGGCCTTCAAGAGCGAAGACGAGAGGGGCTGGGAAGTGCTCCAGACGGCCGACTTTCCCTTCCAGGTCGCCATCCCAGAGGGGCTGCCCCCGAGCGCAAAGCTCGACAAGCAGGCCGGCGTCGCCTACGAGCTCGTCACCAGCCTCTGCGTCCGCTCCAAAAAAGGGCCTCCTGCGCAAGGAGACGACGTCGTCCATCATCCAAAACACCCACCCCATCTGGCTCGAAAAGCACGAGCTCCACTCGTCCTGGCCCGTCTACCACTATCCCGACGAGCACGAGACCGCCCTTGACGGCATCCGCGTCAAGCTCCACCGCAGCCAGACGTGCTACGGACCCGGCGACCAGGTCGACGTCCGCATCCTCGTCTCGTCGGACAGCGTCTCGCCCGTCAAGCTCAAGAATGTCTCGTTCAGCATCCGCGAGACCATCACCTTCCGCGGCGGCACGCGCAAGGCCTTTGGCTCCAAGAGCGCAGCCAGCCAAAAGACCGAGACCCTCGCGAGCAAGACCAAGCCCCTTGGCAAAAAGGTCTACAAGGGCGACATCCACACCTTCGACCTCAGCTGCACCATCCCCAAATCCCACACCCTCATGACCATCCAGACGGCCAAGCACATCGAGGTGGCCTACACGCTCCGCGTCCAGGTCGAGGCGGGCAAGAAACCCATCATCCTCGACCACCTCCCCATCACCCTGTCCAACTTTGCCCGCACCGTCAGCGACGCCACCGTCGACAAGATCGGCTTCGTCCCGGGCCTCTCGGTGCCCGCCGCCAACGCCGCAACCTCTGCCTCGGCCACCAGCCCAGACATCGAGGGCGCGCCCACCAGCGACGGCGCCGAATCCATCTACTCGTCCGGCGGCCCCACCATCACTCGCTCCCAGTCGTTCGCAAACTCGAGCTTCAACGCGCCCTACGCCGGCTATCCGGCCTCTGACCTCCGGCGCAGGGACACAGTCATGACCCAGGGCACCGCCGTCAGCGGACCGGGCATGGCTGGCCGAGGCGTCCCAGGCCAGGTGTTTTCGTGGGGCCAGTACGGCGCAGCGCAGCCGTTTGGCAGCGAGGCGCCGAGGCCCGCGTTTGCCGGGCCGCCAAGCATCTTTGAGGGACACGAGCTCGCTCCCGAGGAGAACCGCGCCCTCTTCCACGCGTCCAATCGGCCCCAGAGCGCCCTCATCCTCGGCAGTGGCGTCGACCCCGTCTTCTTGCCCGCCAACTCGCGGCCCAACAGCGGTGCGCGTCCCGGTCAGGCCGAGCGCCAGGTCACGACGATACGCGAAGGCTCCGAAGAGATGCAGGCCGGCGCCGCCTCTCTAGCGTACGACGGCGCCTCGCTCGGTCAGCCGCAACGCCAGCGCTCGCTCTCCAACCCGGGCGCGCCGACGTCTCAGCACGGGCCGAACCTGGTACGCCCTGACCCCGTGCGTGGTCCGATCAACTCTGCCGAGGCGGAAAAGGAGCGGCTGTACGAGCGCGCGCGGCAACAGGCGGAGCGCAACCAGAGGCGCGCCGACGAGCGCCGCGCCCAGTACGGCCAAGGCACCATCCCGCCCACGCTGGACCGCGATGCCCAGACGTCTATGTCGAACCTGGCACCCGCGCAGGGCCAGACGCTCAGCGTCGGTCCATCTGCAGCCGAGGAGAAGGCGCGGCTGTTTGAGCGCGCCCGCGCAGAGGCCGAACGCTACCAGGCCTCGTTCTCGCAGGGCGCCCAGTTCCCGCCCGCAGCCGCCGCTGGCGGCAGCAGTCCCTTGGCCTCTCCGCACAACCTGGACGATACCCGACGCGCGAGCGCCCAGTACTGGCTGCAGGAGGGAGCGGGTAGCGGATCGGCGGCGGCGACTAAGGCTCCGCAAGCGTCAGCAGCTGCTGCAGGCTCGGCATCCGCTTCAGGCTCGGCCGCCGGGCCAGCAACGACCGCGGCCACAGCCACGACGAGCGTATCGGGTCGACCGGCGCCGTACCCGACCTACATGTCGGCCGAGGAGGAAAAGCGAAGGCTGTACGAGCGAGCCAAGGCCGAGACCGAGGCGTTCCAGCGTGGCGAACTCCAAGATCACCAACAGCCGCAGCAGCCCCAGCAGCGCCGATCAGGCAGCTACACCGACCACGAGGCGTCCGGCTCGATGTCGGGCCACCAGGCCGCCGCCTCGTCCGGCAGCACCTACACTGTGCCGCCGGGCGGATGGCCGAGAGAGGCGCCCACGATGTCGATGTCGGATTCACAGGCTGGTCAGGGTTCTTCGGCAGCGGCGTCGTCGGCGCCGCCCCTGCCTGCAGGCAGTGCAGTGGGCGAAAAGGAGCAGCTGCGGAGGTACTACGAGGCGCAGGACGCCGTGGCACGCCACCAGGCCACGGCCAACCCAGGAGGAGGCGCATCTGGCAGCGCTGCCGGGGGATCGGGTGCGTCCCCGTCGCAGCAGCACGGCTCGTCGAGCCAGGACCATGCGGCCTTGTACGCCCCCGAGGTGGCGCAGGCCGTGGTCAACGCGACACCGCAGCAGCCTTGTGACACCTTCGGCTCGCCTCGTCGAGAGCCCGGCCAGGCGGCGCCGTACGGGGGCAGCAGTAATGGGTCCGCTGGCGTTTACGCGTCGCCGCAGCAGCAGCAGCAGCAGCAGCAGCAGCCTCCTTCATCAAGCGCCCAGTCGTACCTGACGGAGGCCGAGCAACAGAGCGCGCGGGAAAAGGAGAGGCTCGCCACTCATTTCGCCAAGAAGGCCGCACGGGCCGAGGCGCGCGCCGCCGCGTCCGCGAACAGCAACGCTGCATCCCCAGCGATGGTCGGCGTGGCAAACGGCGGCTACGCGACGGGGCAGCCAATGCAGCCTGGCCTCTCGGGCACGACAACGCCCAC